CTACAAAGGTCTTTAAAAATACAAGACTTTAGTTGTTGGGGTTTTTCTTCTTTTTTTAAAGTGTATAAATCTCATATTTATTGTATAATCATAAATCTTATCATCAGTGTTATTTTTACACTTTTGTATTTCATAAATCAGATATCAACTTACACAGAGAAATTTGAAATCTGTGAGCACTAAGAAAAAACATGAAATTAGTTAAGGAATATTTGGATGTAACATGCTCTCAGTTCCCAGGTACATAATTTGTTGATGTTAAAGGAAGCACTATGTGGAAATTCAAAAGATGGTGTAAAATTCAAAGAAAAGCCTGTGTATTATTTGTATGTAAACTTCGTGTAAGTGTGATAATGCTGGGAATTACATTCCAATATTCTAATCTACACATTTAAACACTGTTCCAATTAGAGCTGAGTGAAATGGATTTGTAGTAGAGAAGCGTGCTACTTCTGTCAAGGAAAGTGCTTTTTGACACTGATCTAGATAAACTAAATTTACCAAACTTTGGTACAGTGGGGAAAACAGATTTAAATATTGAAATGTTTTTTTAAAAAGTCAGTAGTTAAACATTGCCCACAACTTGAAGTTTTAAGGAATCTAAATTCATGTGAAAGGCTTGCAAAAACATAAAATAATGAAGCAAGCTTTTCAGCTCTCTTTTTTTTTTCATACCAGCTGTATTCTGATCATGGAGTTCAAGCACCACATCACCAGCCTTATGCCCAGAGTGCCATAGCCATGCCTGCACCTGTAAGTATCAAACTAATATATTAAAGTAAGCACTGTAGTCTTACTGCCCCCTTTCTTGAAGGGGAATGGTAAGAGAAGAGGGCCAGGGATGAAAAAGTCTTATTAATGAATTAATAAATAAGGAAAACAAACATTGCAGAGAAACCAAGATTTTTCTTCACTTGAGGCTTTGTTACAGAGGATATAAGTATTACTTATTTTGGAACTATTTGGGGAAACTAAAAAAAAAAACCAAACATGACTAGTTATTTTAAAACTTGAGGTACAAAGAAAACTGCAAATGAAAAATGTATTTTGAGAGAAAACAGTGAACCTCGTTCAGTTCTTTGGAATGACGGTTACAAATCCTTGTCTCTCTGGATCTTGAGAAGTTGACTTCATTACTTGCAGCCTTAGATAAGCACCTCATGTTGTGGCGAGGTGGGGTTTTGGAACATGGAGCATGAAAAACTGCCCCAGTTGGCCACCTGTGGGTGTCTTTCTGTGTAGTTCTGACTTTGAATGGCCATTGGAAAAATGTGATTTTTTCCATGTCACCTGACACAAGTTGTTGGGGTTTTTTGGGTCCCAGTTTAAGGTCCTTTTGCCTAAGTTAATAAGGTTGTTAACACAACATGAAATAATGTGTAAACTAGATTTAGCCTAGATTTGCCTGATAACAAAAGACTAAAGGTATCGGTAGTTTTACCTGATATTACAGCACTTACTCTTCTGTGAAAGATGCTTACTCAGCTACAAATGACAGACTAAATATGAGTGAATCAAAGCCATGTTATAGGCTTTTATATGTATGTATTCATTTATTTTACATTCCTTTTAAGAGAAGAATCTTTTTTCCTGACTGTTGCGTAACAGTATCTACTAAATATTTCCAGTAGAGGGGGCTGTAACATTAAATATTGTCTTGGAATAAAATGCAAGTACTCCAGTAAAAAAAATAGAAGCTGAATATGAATTTGAGAATACTAATCCTGACTGATTCATATTTTTAAGAAATACTTAAAAGGGAGTTGGTGTAACACAGCGATCATAATATCCAGTTTATATTCCATTTTCTAACAGTGTATGAAAACACTTTAAAAAAAATAATGGCAATAGTAGTCTCAGAGTCAAAAACAAGTGCATACTTACTGTATCAAATAGAGAAACAAGCTTTTTCACCTTAAAACTTGACTTTTATTATCTTTCCTAGGGCCAAGGCTATATGAACAAGATAGTGTAAAGTAAGATACAAGGTAGATCTAGAGCATGATAGCTCTTTCTCTTCTACAGTAGTTGCCACAGTACCATGCTGAACTCATAGCAAAGGCAAAGCAGTTTACTCTGTGATAAGTGATAATGTGTTAATTTACAGTAGAATATGCACATGCATGGTAAAACCATGTTTGATTACTGTGGTATAGGAAATGAGCTGCAAATTCAGTCTTATTTATCTCCTGATATAATATTTTCTATGTTTATTCATAGCTTTAGAAGTGACTTCACACAGGCAAAGCTGGCATAAGCCAGCAATTCATTCCATTTTCCACACCACCCATTTCCTGTGCTGGTAGAGGTTTTTGTGAGGCAGTATGGTAAACCAGGTCAGGGAACTGATGTAGTTAAAGATGAAGCCCCACTCCTACTGCCCCGAAAGAGCTAACTTAAACTTGGATCAGTTCCTCAGACCAGTTTGTCAAGCAACTGCACAAACTCCTGTACCTATACAAGTAGTTTGGGATAGGATAGAGGAAGTAAGACTTGTGTTAGCAGTGCAGATTTAAACTTGATGAAGCTGAGCATGGAACTGCTAATCCTGTCCATTCCTTCACTGTATTTCTTGCTCATTCTTACCCATTTTCTCAAAGACTTCTGTTACCCATAATTGAAACTCTGCTCTGTTCAGGTCTCAAGTAGATTCACAGATATAGTTAAACCCTTACAAAGACTGGTTGAATTCTGATAATTCTATTCATTATAAGACGATGCCAAATATTTTTGGCAAGTTTTAACATTTATTTAGTTAGGTTCATTTAGTAGTAACTAGTGGCTCTGGAATGTAACTCTTCCTTTTCACATTTCACTGTACGTTCTCACATACTCACTTGAAGTTTTGAATGTATTCCATGTATAATGAATATGATCAGCTTGTATTTATCACTGTGGCTGAGCACTCAACAATGATTAAAAAAGAGCAAATGTTGACAGCAGACTGCAATGTATTAAGCAAGTGGTTGGGTCATTACCACCTGCTCCCCAGCTGCATAAAAATACTGCCTGCTGGCTGTAGTCTTGTTAAAATATCGCAGCAAATGTATCTGCTGCTTGAAAATTGCCAAGTGGTGACCATGTAAGAGAGAGTAGATGCCTCAAATAAGGACCTTATCTTGAAGGTAACTTGCTAATTGCCTCCACTGCATTAGGAATTGCATTGCATTAGGAGTTAAAATATGCTTTATACTAGGAGCTGTAAGTCATATGGTCAGAGTAGGATGGGTATAGACAGTATCCAGATATTTTTGGCAGTTGTAGACTTCTTACAGCTTTCAAATACAGCTCGAAACAGAGCATGCATTGCAGTCATATTTTAATGAAGTCACAAGGGTGAGCAAACAAAATGGATTAAATATTTATTGAAAAAAATCACAAATTTCTAAGCCAGTGTTTCCGTTGCTGTTGTGGATGTATAAAAAGAGAACTCAGTTCATCAATCAAGTAAACTGCCTAGCAGTTAACAAAGGAAGCTTCAGTTTTGGCAATTCTCAGACTTATTTTTCATTCTCTCTATTCTACCACCTCAGTAGAATTTTGTTGGTGTAACTTTTAGTACAAAATTTGTAATAGTCTTAAATGAAAATTAGAAGAAAACATTCCCTGATTTCCAACTACAATTTATTTTTTAGATCCAAATTCGGTATTTAAGATCAGGTTTGAATCAAAAAATACTAATCCCTTCCCCTTGATCGTGTGTTTGCTAATGATCCTTTGTATTTACTTGAAGGTGTTTTCTTTTGGGGATTATAGCACGTTTTGTTCATGAGTGCGTGGAAGTGATTTCATCTTCACATCCATACAAATAGATGAGGTTGACATTCGTTCTCAAAGGCTGCTAGGTGACACTTGTTTTTCAGGAAGCATGAATTTTTTTTCATCTCTACTGGATCTTGTGCAGTATTTCAGATCTTAAATCACCCTCTAATACGGAGATTAATGTTTGAATGCTCCTAGAGGACACGTATGAGATTGTGTTTGGTAGTGAGATCTGTGTAGTCGACAGTAACAGCAGAAACTTGAGGGAAGATTGAAATTTGTGTTCTCTGCTTGCAGACCTGGGAGAAATACCTGTGAGTTAAATTTTTGTTTTGCTGGATGGTTATCTTGAGTTCTGAGGCACTGGCCTGGTAAATGTTTACTGGATATTGTGTGTGTATGAGGGAGACCCGTGAGGCTTGGGGAGCTGAGCAACGCAGTTGCACTCTACATAAACTGAGCAAAGGTGTAAAAGGTTCTGGTACATGGAGGTGGGTAGGTGGGTGGGGTTTGTTTTGTTTCGTGTTTTTGTTTGAGTTTTTTTAATTTATTCTTCTCAGTCATCTTTTCCAGCTGCAGTATACCTGTCAGGGGGTAGGCATGGTTCTGGTCTCAGTCCCTGTTTTTGCTATTCCCACGGTCTGTATCCAACAGAATGTTTTGGCCAACTTGAATAGTATGGGATCATACAGTGTCTTTTCCTTTAGGGGACTTCTTAAGCCCTTTGGGGAGGGGAGGAGGTGTTCTCTTTTATTTGAGCTTGGACATTTAGCTTTGGGAGGGGAGTGAGGGGGAGGAAATCAGTTTTATGTTATCTAAACTCTTCACTCCTGTCCCCACAACAGACTAGTTTTAGCTGACGAAGTCTGACAATCTTCCTTAATCTAATTCTTGAAACCTAAAGGTGCTTTCCACTGGATTGGAGTGCAGAGCTATAGTACGTCTTTTAGGCTTACCCTTTTCTTTAGAAAATGTTCTGAAAAGGCACAGAAGAGTACAAAGGTAATAAGTATTTCTATGGTGATTTTGTTGGGTTTTTTCTGAAAACCCAATTAACTCTAACGACAAGAACCTACCAATGATAGAAACGTATCCTGGTTTTCAGATTTGTTTGATTTTTGTCACTACTTTGTTCTCTATTCCCCACAATCTTTTTTGATAGCTTTAAAATTGAATTTTCTACCTACTATAAGAAAACACTTTTTAGAAAGGTCAAAGGTTCTTTGCTTGAGCATTTCCAGTCTACAGTATACTGACAGTAATTATATTCCCTCTAACTGAAAGGGCAGAGGAGGATTTTCCTATGTCAAAACAGAATTTAGGGTATTCATTTGTAATATAGTTCATGTATATATGCAGTCAGATTGTAATGGTGCATGATGGCTAACACCTTGGCCTTTTGGTAGTGAATGTTCTGTAAATTTAACTGAACTTAGAGCACTCCATTTTTCTCTGCAGTTAAGAGTAATAAGCTAAAATTTGTGTTCTGTGTGTGTAAAATACACAAATATACATGTGTTTATACATGTTTGTATATATACTCATGCATGTGTACACACATAAATTGTGGTTTTGATAAGGGGAAGTCTTGGTGTGATCATTTTGGGAGAAGGTACAGTAATTTTATACTAGTACTGTGTGCTATTGTGTGGTATTCCATCTGGAACAAAAAAATTAAACCTTACAACATTTTCTGTATAGGTAAGTATCTTTTTCATTTATACACGCAGTGAAATTGAGAGAGAGAATAAACCTTTTGTTTAAAGTTACCTTAGAAATGTGAATCTAAACTTCTAGTTGTCATAATATATGATTAACAAGAGGCTTGTCACCAGCTGTAACAAGATCTATTGCCTGTAAAAGGGGTTTTTAAAACTCCGCCAAAAATACATTTGTTAATTTTATATTAAAATTGAAAGATGCAGATGGCATGCTTTTTCTTGCATTGTTTCCTTCTATGTTCTCATTACAATCTCCTCTTTTTCTATTCTAATAGTTTGTTCTCATTCCAGTTTAGTGTGCTTTTTTTTTTGCTTTCTCTGATCCATATGTTTTCTCTCTTTTTACTTGACAGACACTATGGAGCATTCACTATTAAGCCATTGGGCAGCTCTCGTCTACCTATACTGAGTTTCTTGTCCAGTCCTTCCCCTGTGACTGAGATCCATCATCAACATACCAGCTAGCAGCTGCCTGTTGTGAAACTTGGGGTCAGTTGTTTCATTGCAATGCTTGCTATTTACAAATTGGTAAATAATAAAACATGCTCTGATAGAATTTAGCATAGTCTGCAATATTACTTAGCTGCTTCCCCCATGTTTGTAAATTTCCTAATAATTCTCTTATGTAAAATAAAATTTATATAATCCATGTCATTAATTCCTGGGATAATCATGTATATATTAATTCCATCATTATTTTCTTTCTAGTTCAACTTCCCAAGTTCTGTGTGTGTGTTTGGATTATTTTCATTCAACAGGGAGGGAAACTTTCAGCACTTTAATGTATGATTTTTGTTTCTGAAACTGTTCTAATTCCTTTATTGACAACTCAACTTTCTCCCCTTTTCTCCATATTTTGTGTGATTTACAGTGGTTTGTATTCATGGAGTTATACTCTGGCAGGTGCTTAACCATGCTTTTTATTGGGAAAAAGGTGCTGCTTTTAGTTGCTTACGCTTCTTTAAAAAAACTAGTATTTTAATAAAATGAAGCTAGGGAAGAATACATGTTTTGCACGTTAAAATTTGTGTCCATTTCTTATTTGATAGCCTTTAAGCAGCCCAGTGATTTGTAGCAGGGGCTTGCTATTTGTTAAGGTGTGACTTCTTGTTTGTATGTGTTTGTGTGATTTATCCCCAGATGTGGCTTTTAAAAAATACTAGAAGTTTGCCAGTGTGAAACTGAGCATAGTTCTTTTCTGTTGGGACCAGCCAGTAGACAGAAGAAAATGTGTCTGTCCTCCATATTCTCATAGGAGTCAAAACTAAAGAAAGAGTAAGAGAAATAGATTGGGACTGAAGTCCTGTAAGCTTTGTGTAATGAAAGCTAAAGTGGGCAGGGAAACTGGCACTAGATGGCCATGGAACCTAGAGATTAAGGAAAGCGGTGCACAATGTGATGTGGAGCTAGCAGATGATGGAAAGAAACTGAAATTTTGAGATTGAAGTGGGCTGAATATCTTGATGGGGATGTAGGAACTACAGCTGGTTGTATCAGGAAACTGGCAGAGCCAGAAGGAAGGGTAAAAAGATAAGTAAGTTTAGCAAAACAAAAAAGTTAGACTGCTGAAAAGGCCTGAGCTAAGAAGAAAAGGTTAGAAAACAAAGATAGTTTGAATCTGTCTTATGGCATAGTAGGAATGGGAAGAAAGGACTCAGATTGGTTAAATAAAGAGAATAAAACAGATGGGAGTTCCGCAAATTGGATACAGAGCAGCTGAGATACAAAGGAACACTGTCAGAGAATTTGATCTTAGGAAGAATAAACAGAATAGTACAAGTATTCTAAAAACAGCACCTAAAACGATAGCCCTGTTTTCTGGATCTTGCCAGCCTTTTGTCAGCAGCTAGTGCCGTCCACTGACAAGTTACTTAATCACAGTCTATTGTCTATTAGTTTACAAATAGGACAGCTATCAGTTATTCAGCTCAAGTTTTATAAATCTGAGTTTTAGCTACTGAAAAAATAATATAAGCATTATTATAAATTCCCATAGTAATGCATTGCTTTAATCTACAGAGAATGCAGAAGTGAAAAAAATAGAATTGGTTAAATAGTTTTGCACGGTAACATATTATAAAAATAAATTTTCCCTATTCAATTAGAAAGAGGATACAGTTGCTTTAATAACTCAACATACTTTACTAAAGCTGTATGATCAATGAACAAAGCTTGATTTTTTTTTTCTAAGTAAATTAATTCTGAACTCATTCTAAGATTCCGTATTGTAAATAAAGGAAGATATTTCTTGCCACTATGGACTTCACCTATGTACATAATGGAAATCTGATTTTCCTTTTTGAACTAAGTCTGTCTCACTGATGCAATATCAAAATGGACTGTAACTTTTCATTGAAACATTATTGATGTAGTAAATGGGACACACTTTGAAATAGAGGAAACAACACAGCGTTTTTCCCTCTCTTTAGGAATCGAGGTCGCATTCTGAGAAGAAATTTTTCACATCATTCATCTGTGAGTCTGAAACCTCAATATACAGAAAGTCCCCGTTTTCATCCTGGAAAAGATTACAGAATGGAAGATAAAATTCTTATACCACCTTCTTCTACAGATTCTATAAAACAGATTTTTAGCTGTCTACTTTGCTAACATACTTATCACGTGGAGGATATGTTCTTCCTAACTTCTAACATGTGCCTGAAAATGCCTAAGTTACAATACCGCTTCTTTTTGTAAAGAATTAAAATGAATTTTTGTAGTTTGGACAGGTAAAAACACGTGAAACCATGATTTTATCCTGCATTTCCTTTCTTAGTAAAAATACTGTTACAGGACAAAATGGTGATTTCTGATACACAGCCTACTATATAAACTTGGGTTACTAACATAGATTGAAAACCAGCATACTTTTATTAAAGCAAAAATTTAACATTTAATTTCTGGATTACATAAACTTAAAAGGTCCATTAGTTACAAAGTAAAAACCATTTTCCCCACATAATGACAAAATTCATGTGCTGTAGGTTAAAATCTGGTTATTTAAATCTATGTGCCTTTTGTTTCAATTCCAATAGAGTTTGTCTACTTCAATTATTTTTTTTTTGCAATCAGTATTCTCTGCTTTATAAAAGTGTTTTACTTACGTGTCATTTTAGTGCTTGGGAATAATAACTTTTTAAAAGAAAATTTGGACCATTAGTTGAGTAATTATTTAGCCTCATATGAGGCTGACATTTTCTTGCATATGCTAAGCAATAATTTGGGTTTTATGGTATGTTTTTAGCTATAGAAAAAGGCAAGAATTGACTTATTACAAGACCGTTGAAGACTTCTCCTTGCTTCTTTCACTTTTTCTGTTGTCTGTGCAAAACTTAGGAACTCCTTGGCAGTATCACGAGTTGAGATGGAATACTACTTTCTCCTCAACTGCCGGGAGATAACTTTTTTTTTATCCCTTGCTTCTCCTCTCACCCCCCTAGGATTCCTTCTGTTTTGTAAAAGTCAGATTCCTCAAAGGTTAAAATACAGCCTCTGTAGTTCATAGGAGTGCAAGCTATGGCTTATTGCTTATGTAGCACTGAGGTCTTTATTTTATGTATGTAAAATATCCTTGAGCTTTTCAATTTTTTTATCTGCTCTGTAGTAATTTGGGGGTTTTCTTTTTGTGGCTCTTTTTTCTTTTAATCATTCAGGGATCTTAGAGTGGTCATTATAGTCAGTAAATAATCCATGCATAATATGTAAATATATTTAAAGATTATTCTAGCAGTCAATAGAGTTCTTTCATATTGCACAGGAAGAGAGGTGGAGTCTGGTTCTGTTCTTAAGGTGTTTTGAAATTGCTGTGAAAGGAGATGCCATGTACTATGTCTTGGTTGCAAGTTTCCTCAAGTGACTTCCCACCTTTTGCTAGGTAGAAAAATCTACACAAATGTAATTTAATAGTTTCTGGTTTTAAAAACTTGTTACCATAGCAGCTGTGGGGGATTGTTTTACCAATAAGTATCAAAAACCATATACAATTTGTTGGATAAATGGGGATCTCGGCCTACTTTTGAGGGGGGAAATACTCATCTGCTGTAGATTGTCATGTTTCTGAGCCAGTCTGTACCACTAAAAGTATCTGTCCAGTTGTTCTTCTGTTTTATTTTTAGATTTTAGAGTTCATCAATATAAATGTTATGGAAATCTTGGCACATGGTAGCAATAATTCATTTCCATGGAAGAATTTTTACATAGTAGATTTTTTTTTAATGAAGTGCTGTCTCTGAAGGTGCTGAAGAAAGGTGGTGTGTTCTGTTAGAGCCTTATTTCTTGTATCATGAAACAAATATGCATTTGACCCAGGATTCAGAAGACTTAGTCCCAAGTCCTTATTTTTGGAATTCACAATTCGATAACCAAACATGACTTCCCTGTTCTTAAAACGCTTTAGAGATCCAAGAAGTAAATTTTACAGTGAGTACTATATTAAAAAAAAACATGTGCTTACAGGGAAGTCTTTTGAACTAACTGCTTGAAAGTGTACGAATACTGTAAAGTCATTTACATGTCACCAGATTGAGGCTCTAGACCAGATACACAATGTAGTTTATTTTCCATTAATTGCTTACAGATGTTAGATTGTTGATAATGAGTTGATCCCATGGCCTTGCTTCAAAGAACACTTATTTTGGTTTTTACTTGCATGTGAACTTGATCATTTGGAAGGATATTCAGTGTTAGGCACAGAAGTATACCTGCAGTGTTCTACTGTGGGGCCTGTAACATCAATCTGGAGGTACTGTTGGTTAGGATTATATCACCGAGTCTTAACATTTTGCTTCTGCTTCATTTGGATTTGAGAGACCTAGAAGAGACCAAGATGAAGCTCTGAATATTGGCTTTCCTCCAGGAACCACAGGTTACTGTTGAAATACTGAGGGCTCTCCACTGATACTGTAGCTCATCTTTCTTCAAAATGCTTGCCAAGAATGATGGCATAACATCGATCATTTAAGCTTCCAGTAGTTGAATCCTTCCGTAGACACAGTTGAGGCACAGTAACTGACTTCTGTAATTCCGTTACAGGGATACACAAATGACATGCACTGAGAAAGAACTACATCATTTCCTCAGGTAGTGCCTAAAATTGCGTTATCTTGATGTTCTAGCATTCATGACTTTTTTTAATCTTTTACACTACATGGTGGTATTCTCCCACCTCTTAAAATTTCCGTAATATGGAAATTCCTGTGCTTTTATACAGAAGTCATTTAGTTAACTGCAGATATTAAGATCCTGATCCCTCACTGACTTTGGGGGTTGGAGAAGGGTAACATTCTTTTTGGTCTTCTGCAGCTTCCCATTGGTAGCTGTAAGGCTTTACACACGTGCTAGGAGGGAACACGTCAGGTTAGGACTGTGCTCTATGGATATTCAGTAGCTAACGGCAAATAGTCATCTTTGTGCACTGCTTGTCACATTGACGTATTAGCAAATTAGATTGATTTTTCTGGCTTCCACCCCCTGGAATTTAGAGACCCTGCTGGTATCTTGTTTTCTACTGAGTTACAGTATTTCTGGCAACTGTCTATTTAATGTTATATTTATATGGCAAAATGTTAGTTCTAACATTCTCTATTGGATAGCACTGGATAAAAACCTATAGACAGGCCAGAAAAGCTACCAAAGTTATCCCTCTCCTGTATTTTTGTGTTGTGATCAAGGACTATTTTCTTGCATTAAGTAGAATAGAATTATCCAGTTCGCTAACATCTTCGGTTCCTGCTACTTCTAATTGTAAGCATCAGAAGTCCATTCATCATCCCTGAAAAACTGTTTAGATTTTTCGTATTAAATTGGCAATTCTTTGTATTCTGAAATTCATTTTTCAAAACAGCTAATATTAAGTCAATGAGTAAACTGCATTCCAATAGTACCTGAGCAGAAACTAGCAGAACACATGGCTCTCTTGAAATGTTTTTCTCTGTTTAACATAGTTCTAAAATGTGAGAAGTTGTATGGTTGTAAAATAGTTTTTTACAGTAAAAATTACAGTAAAATAGGTTTGTGGCTTTGTAATATTGAAGTACTATGGTAGTTTAAATTCACCTGGTATTCTTATGTTTCCTATTTGAGTAAAAAACACACAGCTTAAATCGGTATTTTAAGGATCAAAATATAATGCCAGTGTCTTGATACATGTGTTCAATCCTGTACAAAAATCCTTATAAGCTGTTATGCAGAAAATCCAAAGAGAAGTATAGAAAGCAGAACAGTAATATGTAGCTCTCATTTTAACAATGTTTAATAATGTAGCTAAGATGTAACAGGAAAGTTTAGGTCTTGTAAGGCCTTCTTAAACTTTGAGTCACAAATAATTTAAAGAAATACTGAAACTGTAATTTTGAGGGCCTTGCATGGTCATTTTGTACCTCTGTCAGTGGAGCTGCAGTCTGCATAAGTGTGTACATTAAAGGTAAACAGAATACTGTTCATAATATTTCCAGTTGTTTTTAATCAGATAAACTAGAACATCCAGTTTCATTCTAGAATGCATGATTTTAGTTGATCACATGGCTGTGTTATTTGATGCTGTATTGCAGATACAGATGATCTAGTTACTGCAGCCTTGATAAGTGAGATACTGTGGATGTGCATAGATAAAAGCTTAATAAACTTGTAGATCTCATTTTAGAGAACTGTTAGCAATTTCATAAATCAAAAGCTCTTTCTGTTGAAACTACTTGTAATACAGCAATAATAAACAAGTTTCTGTAGTTTGTAACTTCTAGTAAAGTTCTGGGTTGGTAACGAAAAGTTTAATTCAAATTGGTCCCTATCTGCTGCTTGGATTGTAACTTTTGTTTATGTAACTGTAGTATCGATGAGTAGTTTAAATATGGGTTTAGAAAAATATGGAAAATGGAATTGATGAACTTTTATCATTAAACTATGCTTTTGCAGTCATTAAAACAAACCGTTGTCATCTCTCTGTTAATTAGTTTTAGAACATGAAGTTAAATACTGTTAGCTAGCTTTCAAAAGCTAGCTTTTTTGCTCAAGTTAACATGTTTAACAAGACTGTGTTCCTGTTGCATTCACAAAATTATTCCTTCAAAGGAAAAAAAAATAGAGGCAAAGAAAAAAAAAAATTAAAGTTGCCAAACAAAGGAGCCTTCAGAATGGAATACTGCTGCTTTCTTAACATCTTTAAATTATGGACAAAACAGTTTTAATCAAATCATTCTACAGAAAAAAGAACTAAATATCAGTGGTTTTGTTTTAGTTAAAGTAATAGTTCTTGGGGATAGGGAATGTGAAAAATATTTTACAATTGAATCGCAGAATTTTTCTGACGGAATTTTTTTGCTTTTACTGTCATTATCTGGTCCCAAGCAAAAACTTTACATTTGTCTTGAGTCATAAAACAAAGGAAGTAAACCTATAAAGAAGTTAGAGAGGAACTGTGAAGTTCAAAAGTGTTGCAATTTGAGATGAATAATCTTTAGGGGTTTTCTGAATGCATTGTTTTTGAGCCCTGTAGCTGTTCAGATAGCCTCAGGTTCTGGAGAAATCTGACTAATTTAGCTTGTGTTTTGTAATTTGTGCCTTTATCTTATTAACGTGTCTGTCCTCTGTTAAAGGCATTCTGTGGCAGTGATGACTGATCTATAGCCGATAACAATGCTGGGTTTTTGGTTTGTTTTTTTTTTTTTTAAGTGGTGC